CTTTCTCCTCAGCATCCTCAGAGTTAGGTGCCTTGAAATCGTTGTTTGGCATATAACTGGAAGCACATGACATCGGAATAGTCGCGACTCCACTAAATGTCAAAAACCTCACCAAGGTGGTAACCAAGAATCATAGACATCGAACTTCGAGGCCACAATAAGCGATGGGATCCCTAACCGTTTTCCAAGCCGATAAAGGTTGCAATTGGATACCTAAATGATGCACCTTAGGAGGAAAATTGGGATGGGTGGGGGGAAGCTTTGGAATTGAAGAAATAACAGATTAAGCGGAGAATGCGAACATTTGGAAAAAAAAAGGAGAAAGAATGACCTCTTTGCTTCTAGCAAAGGAAAGTTTGCCCTCATGCTGATCCGGATGTGAGTGGTATAAATAGTCGGTCACAGAATACTTAAGGAATGAGTCTCCTATGGTCTCCAGCCGTTCCAAATTGATACCTGAATCGGTCAAACTAACAAAAGATCATTGTAAACAGAAGTCATTTCGACATAGAGACTATTCCGCCATTTCTCAAAAAGATCAAGCTCATTAGATTCCCAGATTAATGGAACTGTTTTTAAGACAAAAACGACAAGAGGAAACGAGAAAAAAAGTGGGGAAGCCAAAAACCATTGTAAATAAAATAGTAAGGTGACTCGGCAGATACAGAAAAGATGCAAAGCAGCGAATCAAGCACGCAAACCGCTGCCTCAAGCCGATGCCTGTCGGAAGCTTGAAAAATTATCAGAAAGCAGCAAGTACGCTACATGCTGCGAGCTCTTTGCTAGACGATAAACTTACTACAGGTTATGTAATGAAGAAATTGTTTGATTATGAACCGTAATTGATTGGGAAAGCTGGTAGAAGAAAATACGTAACGAATTCGGCAAACAAACTCGCCATCATTCGCATTCGACGTCGTCAGTGCAGTCAACAATAAGCGCGGGGATACACCATACGGATTTTCTTCGGCCAGCGTCTCAGAATGATATTCAATTGCCGATGGTGGATTTAATACAATAGCGCTCGAAGACGGCGATGGAGTTGCAAATGAGAACCGATTACGATTGCTTGGCAATTCGGGAGCTAGCACTTCACCCTATAATCAGAATAAAATAAGCTAGTAAATCTACTAAAACCTTTTTATTTAGTGAACCTCTGTCAGTTTGCACTCCGTAATTACAGCATGATCACGTTCGTACTTTTGTCGTTCGCCATCTTTCAGCTGTTCGTATTCCTCGTCTGAGCTATATTCCATAGCAGTTTTGCACTCGAAATCATCTGTAGAAAGTCTAGGCATAATACAGCAAATAACTAGTTCATAGTTCGATTGCACCTTACGCCATTATCATGGCCAGATAGCGCAAAATCTGCACCACGCGTTCTAAATACGAGTTCCCCAGTCTTCTCAGATTTGATGCATAAAGTGCAGCTATATTACCCGAAGTGTACATAACTAGGGTTTGGCGGTGCTAAATTTTCCATCACAGATTCAATCAAAAGCAGCAGAATTCAGGACCTTACCCATAATTACAATGCCTTTTCTTTATCGAGCCGAAGCTGCATGAACGCGCTGATAATTTCTTAGACGTCTATTATTTTTCAGTTATAACGTACCGCCTGTGCAACTACATTTACTTTATGTTTTATAAGTGTCCCTAAGGTAAATAATAGCAATAGGTTGCTTCGCCCAGCAACAAGTTTTCAAAAGATATGGAGATGAAATAAATTGTTAGGAAAAATCATGAAACCAAATACAGCATTACCTCCATCGTCGAACTGTAATAAATCCACAATCTCCTCCTTCTGGGTTCGCTCACGATCTTCCAACATTTCCATTTTATCCAAGTACAACTGAACAATCGCAAAATAATTTCAAATTGAGCGAGTAATAAAAGTGATCTACTTCCTCAAACCTTTGTTGGTTCCAACAAAGTATTCCCAAAGTTTTGCATTGGAGCAGCCGGCTTCTTCACAGCTGGTGCAGGAGAGCTGTCAATGTCTATTAAAGTCCCAACTTTGGCGCTAACAGAAGGCGCCCATGCATTTGGGTCCTGAGGTAGGATTTGACTTTGCAAATCTGCCATGAGACTTGTCATGTTGATCTGATTCGATGAAGAGCCGAGTATTTGCTAAAAGAGAAATTATGAGAAGCTATTGATAAGGAACAGTAGCTGTGGCGTTGACATACGAATGGGGTGTCCGGTACATAGTCATCAAGATCTCCCCAACCACATGCCTGGATATCCGGTCTTGGGGTGGCGAAGTTTGATTTTGTAGCGCCTGGAGTTGATATGATGAATTGCCAGTAGCAATATAGCAAAGAAAGATAAGAACAGTTTTAACATTGTAACATTATAAACAGCTAAATCTCATAAATGATGAAACTCGTAAATTAAAGTGTGTCAAAGTGAGCTGCATTTTAAAAAACCGGGCTCCCTGGTATCAATGTAGAATAAAGGAAATGTAATTGAAAGTGCTAATTATC